TAAGTCTTTATAATAGTTGGTTCTCAAGGGATCCAATTTGATGAGCTGATCAAATATAGAGTTTACGTGCACTCTATTGGGCTCAGTCCAGGCCAGAGTTAGGTTAACCCCTGAAACAATATTTCGTAAATTAGTTTAAAACTCTAACGATTAATAATATCTCAAACTAACACTTATTGTTTGGCTCTAATTTCTGTAATTCGCGTAACGTTTTCAGATAACTCTCCTCTAAAGTCGACTGTTGGTCCAAATTGTGTGACTTTCGCTCCCAAACAAACACTTTTTCAGTTGTATTATTCATGTCATCGACTTTTATATCAAGCAATTCAACGGATTCTGAGTTTACGGCAAACGTGGGAATCGGACTAATAGTGAGTCCATTGAATTGAGTGATCGGAATGGTATCCAAATGAATGAACCATACATTAGAGTCGACATCATTAGGAGAATTCCAGTCAGAATTAGTCACCATTTGATTGTTTATCACAACAGATATCAAAGGCTTGTGTTTGAGAGGACGGGAAAGACTCACAACAAGTAAAGCGTGAGTTGTATTCAAAACAACTCTATTAATTTTGACCACATTTTCGTAACCCAATTGTTTTGCATTAAGAATATTGTGTCCATAATTGGTGGAAACAAGCCATTTGTGGTAAAACCAGGCGGACTGGTCGGTCGGGTCCGTGAATATGGCGTTCTCTACCAAATCGTACTCCTGTTTCCACTGTTGGCTAAAGTCATAGCCGTCATCACTGGCCACGGCTGACCTGAACAGACAGCTCCGGTGATACCAGGAACTGAAGTTCGAGAAGTTCTGCTCAATCTTATGTAACGTAAACTCGAGGCCCTCTTCTTCGCTAGCTTTTGCCAATTTAGACACAAATGTCCGGTAATCCCAACAGTGAACTAGAATTTCAATTAACATTATATTCACTCAATTTATTAAACAATGAGTGCATTGACTAACAGTTTCTTTCATCCAATTGAAGCAATTGATTGCAAAGTGATATTTCGTTCTTGAGGTCAGGATCTGTCATATTGCCGATAATCCATTGCCTCTGATGCCAAACACAGTAAGACTTGTAATTCACTTTCAGACAGTTCTCTGTCAGTTGCAGTTCATTGCGGAGAATCTTCTCAAAGGCCTCGCTATCGGCCGTGTCTTTCATCTGATCCTTCATGTGGTTAATGATCTCTCGTCTGAAGTTCCAAACCGTATAGAAGTCGGGATTAACTGAAACCAATTGAGCGCTCGTTGCCAGCGATTCGCTGTCATATTCACGTCGAGCTCTCTATTGGTTTCCTTCATGTGGTTAATGATCTCTCGTCTGAAGTTCCAAACCGTATAGAAGTCGGGATTAACTGAAACCAATTGAGCGCTCGTTGCCAGCGATTCGCTGTCATATTCACGTCGAGCTCTCTATTGGTGTAAACACTAAGACAATGAAACAATCAAAGAGTTGGCCGCAGATGACATACTCTGCCGAAGACCACTTCTTGAAGGGCCACATATTGGCGACACTTCTCCTCCTTTTCCTTCTTCTTCTCCAACTGTTTCTGCAAATCTGTCTTCACTTTCACTCTTCCGTGCTGTCAATCACCCAATCAATGAGTTATACAAACTGTCAGACCATTCATGGTTTACCATTGCTGTCGAGACAACTGTTCCGGTGATCAATGACTCGTAAAATACAGTCAATTGTTTGCAATACAAATGCAATCAAATCTATGACTTCTTTACATATAAACTGTTATCTAATGTTTACAATACTTTCAAACTATCATATGATATAACCATTTATTTGTAAAAAGTGTACAAATTGTCAATATAATGATCCAAATAAAGCTGAAAACTGTAGCCTATTGGTCTAAAATGATTAACTTGATCACTTTTATAGTGTTTAGTGCCGGTGATGCCAAAACAATTGCATAACCCTTTGCCCCCTCACACCCCCGCCTGTCATTACAGAGTATGTGTAATACTGAATAGACTTTACAGCGAAAGTGAATTGTGTGGCAATAGATGGCTAACACACACACAGACTGTATTGAAGTGTGAATGCATTTTCATGTATTGTGTGTTTGTGTTCGTGTGAGGCGTTTGTGAACACTATGTCTATGTCTATGGCTGTAGTGTTGTCTCAATGTCTCTGACGTGGAGAACAACTGATTAGACGTTTACGAGCATTTGATTCACTGAACCACTCACTCATACCGACGATTATCACCACATTTGTCGCCATCACATCCACCGCACGATGACTACGAGAGGCCATCACCTGTTTGTGTGTCTGCTCGTCGTATGTCTCATATCGGACACCATCAGCGATGAACACTCGCATACCGTATGTATTGAGTGGTCGGCGTTGAGCTGGACTTCCCATTGAATGTCATTATCATATGTCTCGCCATTAGTACGAAGACAACGAAGAGGTGGTGCTGTGGATGAACACAGTCGGCCCCTACCATAACAGACAGGAGAC